AACATAAAAACTAAAAGCATTAAATCAAACAGACATCCCAGACTAAAACACTTTAATAAATAACAAAATGAACAAAAGAAACTACATCTAATGCTTAAGCATTTATTATGCATGAATGTGCAGCCTCTACAAACTGTGGCGCTTAGTAGGCTAAACAAAATTTAGTAATTATTTTTTTTCTTACAGATTAAGATGATGTAGCACTTGAAAAATGTTTAACCAACTACAGGTGTTTATGATAAACAGGTTAGTAAACAAATCTCGAACAGTTTAATGCAGACAGTTGCAAGTGATCAGCTCACTAGTTTCACCATGAATCATCTCAATTCTGCTATCCTGCCTTCTTTAAACTTCAGAGGAAGAATCCTTAAATCTGGACTGGTTTCTAGAATTTTCACCAATTAGTATCCCCTACTATGCAGTATACAATGGTTACTATCCTTTTAAAGTTTAACATAAATACTTGAACATAGTATGTGTGGTTTGACTAATACTGAATATTCTATTCCACTTCAAAATTAACCTGATGAGGGAATAATTTTGTTACTATTGCAATAAGAAATACCTTATTTTGGACTCCTTAAGCAAGCCATTATTTTTCAGCCTCATTATATAACTTTGGGAAACTAAGATACATTTTAATCTTTTAACATACTTTAACAGATGTCCTTCAGGAGCAAATTATCTAGAATTCTAAGAATTTTTTCAAGAGTTCCAGGGACTCTTTTCAAGTGTACCTTCCAATTCTACTTTTAAAAAAAAATCAATAGCCTATTCTCCAATCTCATTTGTTACTGAAGAGTTCTGTTTTGCTTTAGTAATAGCATTAATAGAGAATTTCACCAGCTGGTAGCCCCCACTATGTAATTGGATGTCCTTCTAAAATTTGATGACTATACCTGGAATAAAAACATTAATGGAAAATTTCACAATTGGAAACCCCGTTATGCAACCTGTATAGTGCAGCTACTTGTCATTTTTCCTTTCCCATCAGTTTGCTAGATTTAAAACATTTTATCTGAAAAATAATTAAAAAGCATTGGGATTAATATTGAATGACTATAGGCAACAGAAAATTAATTATGCAGCGTTTCCCAATCAGGCATGTTCCGAATGGGTTAAGACTACAACTACCAGGAAGTTGTGGTGCCAATCCATTTCAATGGCATCGGATTATAAAAAATAGATACCATACATAACATAAAACAGTGTTTTCCCTATTCTTGACTAAACATAGATCCAACCCATAGAAAAGATAATATCCTAAACAGGACCTAGACAATGGATACCTGGTCTCTATTTAACCCCATCCCCATTTCTTTATCATAAAACTGCAGTTTTTTCCCATTTAAATTGAAGTCCTATTGTACTGCTACATGAGAACTACCTTGAATAAAAATGAAAAAGAATGCATGACACTGCTGAGGATAGCTTTTATTTTAACTCCCTATTAATGTTCTTAGTCAACATACAACTGCCAAAATACTGTATATTAACTTTAGGAGAAAATAATTTATATCATTAAAAAAAAAAAAAAACTATTGCAAAGAGAAATCAAGTCTACACTTATTTTAAAGTGCAAATAATTTATTGCGGTAGATAGCAAATTGCTAGAAAAACAATTTCCTTTTCATAAAGCTTCCAAAAAGCATAATAGAAGTATTTTATACTAAAGTAGCAAATCAAATCTAAAAACATCCCTTCATTATCTCCGTTTTCTTCCTTAAAAATACTCAACCCGGCTCTCATGTCTAATTATTCTCACCCTCTCCACTGACCCTGCAGCTGGCTCATTTATCATATTCTTTGTTAGAGACATCCTGTCAGATAACAGGTTAAAATGGCTTCATAAATTTATTTATTCATAAATCACCTCCATGCTACTTTGAATAAATTTTATTTCGAAAGATTTGTATGAATACCTAAATACAATGTAAATACTGTACCCAAGTGACTGAGCTATCAAATTTCCAAACTTGATAAATTGGGGCAATATTTTAATTAACAATTTCAATTACTTCCAAGTTTTTCAAAATGCACTGGATACAAATGCCATGTCAATATTGTAAAAAAATCACGAACAGAAGACTGACTTGTTCATTCCAAATACGTATACTTCATTTTACTCACTGTAAGAGTGCAAAGGATGAAAAACTCTTAGGAACAAGTTCTTAATGTTATTTTTCTCACATTTAAAAAATATTATTTTGAGGAAATAGTTAAAACACATCAACCATTGCAAAAACAAATACATATTTTGAGTGAATATGTGCTATCATGAAAATATTTCTCCATTCTTCAACAGAACATGAATTCGAACAGTACTACCATAATCGACACCTAGTTTAAGATACAGGTTTTTCTTCAGATTATAACCTGCTGCTAAATGTTAAATATATAAGCGTCTTTTTAAGTGATTCAAATCATTTATATTAATATCTTGCAAAACTATTACTGTTCCTTTTGTCTGGCAAACATTAAATTCAATAGTCATCAAGCAACAGAGATCTATTAGTTCTGTTTGGCAATTCTGTAATCCCTCCTTAAGCTTTGGGTACAGGACAGGATCTTTCCTCAGTTGCTTCATTTCAGGCACAGAAAAGCCAATTAAGCTTGTAAGAATCTCATCAGCAAATTCAACTTCTAGATAAGCTGTGCCATCAGATATTTTTGCTGTTACACTCCAGAAGCCATTACTGCTTGTGAGATTTCCTGTAAGAGTTACTATAAATGCTTTGATTTTCACAGTAGTATTATCTCTGCGCTTGCTATTTAACAGAACAGATAGATATGTAAAAGGAGTGGTATCCAAATCAACTTTGTGACATTTATTCTTTATTTTTATCATCTCTACCTGCTCAGAACACAATCTGAATTCTGCATTGACATCTATTACTCCATCATTAGAAATTTTAGAGGATTTCTTATTGCAATCTAAATTCTGGGTGTATTGTCTTTTATGATTTGTAGTAAAAACTGCCATGCTTTTTTCAAATGTATTATACATTGCTCTTTCACTAGATTTTTTTTCTTGAACAGCTTCATTATTTCTACTAGATTTAGTGTTCAAAACATGTATCTGTTCTTGCTGGATCTCTTCTACTAAAAGTAAGTCATCATCCATTGAAAATCCATCAAAATCGCCTTCCATATTTTCTAGAACTGAAACAGTTTGTGGTTCTTCATTTCTTGAAATTAACTCTGCAGATCTCTGTTGTGAGCAGTTCCCATAGCTCTGAGGAAGAGAAGGCACAATAGAATTTAAACTGGTACTTCTTGTACAGTATCCACTTTCAGGAGGATCTTCATTTATCCTTATTTCATCATTTTCCTCAAGAGTTGCCAAAAGCTCTTCATCAGAAAGCCCTAATTCATCATCAGGCCTTGCAATTTCATTTTCGCCAGTATCAGACCTGACAATATTAGGACTGCAGTCTTCTCCAATTAATCTGGCAAGCACTTTCTCCAAAGCAAATGTCTCTAAAAGGCTATCAACTTCACCGCCCAATAATTTCACATTTTCTGGGTTAAGCAAAAGAACACCTAAACGAAATGCAACTTTCCCTTGTATCATAACTTTGGTACCTGGAGGTAGACCACTATGGAGTTGAGGAATAGGTTGATATTCCATACCTTGGATATGATGTATACCATCAGTCATTTGTAGCAGAAGCATTCGAGTAGGATTTTCCTCCCATGATCTCAAGGTCCTCTGTGTATAAGAAGTTACTTCCTCGTTTACAGTGCTTTTTCCTCTTATTTTTTGCAACTGGGAATAAGCAGGCTGACTCACATCAACAACTGAATCAATTTGCACCGAATAAAAGCCATTCAATTCTCCTTTTGGATCATTTAAAATGAATTCAGGCAGAACAGGGTATTCAAGATCTCGGAGATCTGTAAGAAGCCACTGCTCAAAAACTTTCTTGTTAATAGCAGCCTGAGCCAAATTGCTTCCATGATGTTCTTTTTCAATCCAATCAATACAAGCTTCTAGCCATCGAGTTGGCACTTTCACATGCCAGGTAGATAAAAGCCAAGTTTCCACTCTTAGTGCAACACCTGATGTGGTCATTTTCTTCTAAGATAAAAAAGGAAAAAAAGGATTTTTTTTTAAAAAAAAAATGGCATTACATAAATCTTTGGGGAGAGTTATTGGCAGATTTTTTTGTGCATGAGTTTCATAATGCCTTATTCTATTCTCATATCGTTGATTCTCTTAAATTTAAAACCATGAAGCAGATTATTTCTTATGAAGGAAAGCAATATAATGGTGTCCCACTAAGAAACTCATTTATCAGGTGGCTTGTTTTAAATAAAACACGCATAGAAACCCGCAGTAAACACTGCCATCCAAATATATTATCTGAACAGCAATAGGATATCGTCTAAAAACTATACTTGGGACTAAACTGCACAATTATGGTCCAATTAAAAGTGTGCAAATCAATACAATTTTAGCTATAGGTAAACAAGATGCTGTTTTCGGGCTTCTTGCAGATTCCCCTCCCTCCCCTCAAGGATGTTCGATTTCAGTGTTGTTGGTGAGAAACCCGAAGACTTTCTCTTCTCTTACCACTTCTGCGAGAAGAACGCGCCCATGTAACCCTAAGGCCCCAGCCCCACGAGGTGAGGAGCACCTGGCTCTCTTTTGGTCCCCCACAGCACCGACGTCCGGCCCTTTTTTCCCCCCCTTCTCCCGCCTCCTTTTGTTTTAAGCGCCAAAGCGGACCGAGAACCAAACTTCCTCAGCTCTCGCGAGAATTCCTCCCCCTGTCCATTATCGACTGTGAGGACGAGGCGGAGTTTTCGCCGACGCCATTTTGTTTTTCCCCTCGCGCGCACTGATTAGGGTCAATTTCGCTCTCCTTGAAGCAGCGGTAACGACTGTAAAGCGGTTGGGATCGATTTTTTTTAAACGTTCTTTTTCTCCCCTCCCCCACAGTAAGTACCCACTCTCTAAACAGGGGCGAAAGGAAACAGAGAAGATAGGTAGAAGGAGCGATAGATCTAGATATATATACTGGTACGTTACAGCGTCAGCCGCGCTTTAACAGCCTGAAGCAGAATTAGCGGTAGCGGCGCGCCGACAGTTGCCACGGAGGGCGGGAGTGATAAATCAATAGTGTTCCCAGGTAAAGAACGACACCTGTGACAGCCAATAAGGATTCAGGAGTGCAGCAGGCGAGCGAATAGGAGCGACAGTAGCGCGGGTGAGTGCGCGCGCTCTTGCTTTTTGAGCTCTTATCGTACTTGGGAAGCAGCTTCGGCGGCGTTTAGTCCGCTGCCTGGTGAGGAAACCGGGCGAGCTTACCGGACTGACCGTTAACGCCCTTCCACCTTTTGTAGGTGGGAACTATATATGTAGTGTCCACATACTTAGGCCTACGAAATTAACCGGTACGTGTTTAAAATGGGCAAACGTCTTCTGTTGAGGGGTGGGCCGGTGTTTTTATACCACGGCGAGAGAGGCGGTTTTCGGCCTGCGGCTATCCTTTAACCTTCCACTGTCGATTGCGAGTGCCGCATGGCTGGCAAGGAGGTGAACGGGCTTCAAGCCCGGTAGTCCCCAGTGCCTCCTGGTGCAGGAATCATGGCGGCTGGTTGTAGTTGGGAGGGGCGAGGAGGAGAGAGCGCAAGGCGTTCCCTTTCCTTGGTGGCCCCATCGATTGGGACGGACCTCGGTAGGCCCCAGCGCCCTCTTCGCCTTCCCTGGAAAAAGAGGAAAAAATGGGCAAGGAGGTTCCAGGCATCTTTTGTGTCTTCTTGAATCCCGTGTTTCTGGAGCTGCCGCGTGGCGGTGCTTCTTCCGCTCGGGACTCCTCCTCAGCAGCTCGTGATCGCCATTACTGCTCAAGCTGGCGTTAAAAGCCGCCATTTTTAGTTGGCATTTCATCCGAGATAGTCTCGAGATTGCACAATTTCTGGTCGCGACGAGGCTTCACCTTTTGTATCATCGTGGTAGGGAGGAAGTCGTTTAGGATAAGATGGTTAAATCAGGCCTGCCTTGTCAGAGCCAGAAACGAGCCACTGGTTCCTGCTGTCCATCCTGCTCGCAATTCGCGTGATTGAGAGAGAGAACTGGAGATCGGTTTTGAACAGTATTGCTTTATAGCCCAGGCTCCTTTTCTTCGCCTTCAACCAGGGTTTACAGTTAATCATGTTTGACGCGACCTCTCCAATATAGCTGTTGCTCCTGTCGATTACTAAAAGGACTGTAAATAGTATTTTTCCCCCCTCAAATACATAACCAAAATCCTTTGTGCGCAATGGGCATATATTTTACCAGTTGTAATGAGGTTGTACTAAACGTGAAGAAATATTGTACTTTGTAGCAATACCAGACTCATTGCAATTTTAAAATTATCGGTTGATTTCTCTTATTTCAATGTTACAACATTTTGTGTCCTAATTGTACATTAATTGTAAGTTCATCTAAAACAGTTCAGATCATCTTATTTTACAATTCTGGGTTGAACTTGCATTCATTGTTCTTCCAAGATGAGCTAAAGGGCAATTTAATAATATTTAATAAAGAGATTATAACAAACATATATAAAATTACATATCCTGAAATTTAGTTTGATGACCTATCCAATGTAATAGTTTGCTTGTTAAAAGAATTATACATATATAGAAATAAATTTTAGCTATCAAAGCAGGCAACCTGCACTTCGTAAGAAAAAGAAGTAGCAGGATGTGATCTTTTTTTTTAACAATAGTTGTGCTTTCAGATTGAAATTAAAATGGTTAAAATTAATTTGTGCCAACTAAAATACATGGTCTGTTAATAAAGTTAGTCAAAGGAATAAATGCTGCAGAACAGCAATATATTTGCTAAAATATATTTACTGATTCACTTTTTATGTTAATTCTTGCAGCCTAACTTGTAAATTGAGAGCCAGTTCAGTTTAGTGGTTAAGGTGCTGGACTAGAAGCCAGGAAACCTGAGTTTTGTCCTACTTTAGGGATGGAGGTCAGCAGAGTGAGTTTAGACTAGTCACTTTTCCTCAGTTCTAGGAAAAATGCAGTAACAAATCACTTATGAAAATCCTTGTCCATGTAGCTGCCAGGAGTCAAGACTGACTCCATACACGCACTCCCCTGTAAATTAACAAGATCATCCATTCATGTATGCTGCTTTTCATAGGCTACGTGATTGTTGATCCCGCCCAGAAGATTTACTTGGCAAAGATATATAATACTGGTAAGTGCTGGCAACCCGTTGCTAACCTCTGTCATGTTCTCTAAAAGCTGAGGATTCTGTTTGAGCACTTCGGTATATTTATATTTAATCGGTTTTGTCTTCAAGTTTGAAAACAATGGAGACTGAACAGCAAGAGGAGACCTTTACTAACACAGAGACAAATGGTAAGTTTATAAACAATAAAATAGTAAATTTACAATATTAATTATATCATAGGATTTATTATGAGCCCCATAACCATTACTAGAACTTGAAACATGCTCCCTGTATTTCAGATGAGGGCTTAGGGATTAGTGTAAATTTGTTTGGCTATCAATTTTTATTTTTGTAACACATTCACAAAATCCTGTTTGAGATTTCAGACTATTACATCTTCATTTTTATAATTTTGATTAAAATTGAATTTAAAAGACCCGAAAAAGTTCATTTATTCATTTGAAATATTTATCTTCCCCAATCCTAGAGGGCTTTGTCAATGCTCTTTTGGTAATGATGATAGGGTGTATGATAGATAACTAAATTATTGGTGCATGAAATAAAGATACATGTGCTTCCATGCTTCAAGAAGCTATTAAAAAGCATTTTTTGTAAACAGTTTATTCTCTTAAATGTTAGGCAAACGACCAGCTGAGGATATAGAAGAGGAACAGGCCTTCAAAAGGTCAAGGAACACTGATGAGATGGTGGAACTGCGCATTCTGCTTCAGAGTAAAGTATGTTTATTTTCTAATTTACTTTGACCCCTATCCCCCTCCCCCTCCCCCCCAGTGTTTATTCTTTATTGAAGCTATTTAGGAAATCTTAAACTACTTCATAATATTTCTTTTTAGAATGCTGGAGCAGTAATTGGCAAAGGTGGCAAAAATATTAAAGCACTTCGTACAGACGTGAGTATTTACAAACTAAACCCTTATTTTGCAAAACATAGCATTAATATATTTCTAGTAATGCATAATTTAAGTAATAGGCTAGTCTAAGCCTTTATAACCATCTTTAAACTCAAGTCTCACAATTCGTTTTTAGAATTAAGACATAAAGTAATATGATGAGATTCCTATCCTTTATTTTACAGTAACTTTACAAAGAGTGGTAGCATATTTAATTTTTTATATTTGAAAATTCGTTAAAAATAGTTTTTAGAAGACATTATAGATTACTATTCTTTACTTAGGTATACAATGCTTTTTGTGCACCAAGCTTATTTCTCTAATAGAGAAAGATTCATCGGAGTATTTTATATATAGAATCAGCATGGTAGCTATATTCTCATCTGGAAGAAATTTTACGTGAATATAACTTTAAATATATTTACACATTTTTAGTGGGTTGACTCTTGTGAATAGACACGTTTAGCATTATCTAAGCTTTATAGTTTAGCACCAAACTTTGTAAAAAGCAATATCTTTTATTGTGCATAATCAATTTTTTCAATATAGTAATACTCGTATTTAATGAATTATTTGGCACTACATTGTTTCACATTGTGTTTGATATTTTCATTATATTGTAAAATAAACTCTTGTAGAATGTTATAACTGTCAACCTTTAGTTACTAGATCTGAGGTATAAGCAAAGACTGGGTAGTAATCACTTGTACATTAACTGACCTTTCTGAAGCTAGTGTACTTAAAATTTCACATACCTAAATCCAGATTTCATACACATAATTCCTGGATTAGTAGTGGCTTTCCCTATTTCCCAGGATTTCAGTAAACTGAATCTCTACAGATCTTGTGTCTACCCTCATGAGCCAGCCTGCTACTGCAACTTTTAACGTTCAAAATAGTTTAGGCCAAGTAACTCATTATTACGGTCCATAACTGTTAAGCCACAGTCAATGTAGCTATCCGTTATTGTGTTAAGTCTTCAGAACAACTTAAGCTTGTAATGAGTATAGTTTGTATTAAATTAAAATTTATTGCTTTTCCCCCTCTTCCCTCTCCTTGTTTTTTTGGCCATATATCTCTCCGTTGCCCATGTACTGGATCGACTTGCCCCTGCGTTGCCCACCATGACGTTGGCCCATCCGCCCCTGAACGCCCATGTGAAAACCCTGGTTGGCTATGCCCAAAAATGTGCTCGTTGCCAAACGGGTGCCTTACTTGACAACTTCTGATTGAATGCCCATGCCCATTGCCAACATCCACGAACGCCAATGACCAATGCAGTACAATGCCAGTGTTTCAGTCCCAGACAGCAGTGGCCCCGAGCGGTATGTCCCAACAGTTTATGCCTCACTGCCTGATTAGAAAGAGAGAAATGTATATTATTACCTGCCTTTTATATAATTAAATAGTATCCCCGTAGACGGTGTATTGTTTTTAAGTTTTCTGTCTTATTTTCCCCATTAAGTCTTTTTGTCACTGAACTTTTACGTGAGTTGCCCACCCAACAAACCACTAATTTTATTTCAATGGAAGGAGCACAGCTTCAATTGTATATTTTCTGCATTGTAAATCAGATTGTTTCAAAATAGTCTCTCGCTCTGCTCTGTCTTTGTGGCCCACCTTGCTCCCTCAGCATTGCCTGTTCATAATTTTTCTGATGAAATGCTAACTCCTGGTTCACTCTCCTTCACTTCTCATTTGTGTTGTCTTTTTGTCTTGCGTTTGTATTTCTTTTCTTGCAGAGCCCATTAGTAATCTAATTTTTAACTGGTCTCATAACCCTATTCCAAATACAGTGTTCACCTCTTGCATATTCACGTTCCTTATGAGAAGGTGTGCCAGTTTAACAATGTAATAGCGAGGGTGTCCTAAATTAATGGTGGCGGGGAACATGAATATTCACTCCTGCTTTCAATTCTTCATCAGTATCTTGTCCACTTAATCTGACTCCTTCCAAGAAACTCATTCGCTATCTCCCAAACCTTATTTTAAACTTATACCATTTATAATATTGGGCATAAACAAAGGTGCATGTTCTGTATCTTCAGTAAACAGAATTAAGTGGGGAATATTAACTGTAGGTTCTGTTCTATGAATTGATTTATAATCTGCATACATATGAATATATAACTTACTTCATTTCCCCCTCCCCTCTTTTTGTAACACATTGATGTGATTTAACAGTATACTGAGTATAAGTGCAGATATTGAAACAATTGGAGAAATTCTGAAGAAAATTATCCCAACATTGGAGGAGGTAGGTATTCATCTATTTCACATTACATAATCGAATCTTTACATCTGGATGCATTTGTTTTGATAGTGAATTTCACCAATTAACACGAGAAAGCATGTCTAAAGGTGGTGGCATATATAGAAGAATTGTATATTGGAATTTCAGGAACTAGGAAGCTCTCTTCTGCCAACTAAGATCATAATCGTACCTAATTCAGTATTCTTGAACTGATTGACAGCCATTTTCCAAGACCTCATAGTAGGCATTTTCTATCCACCCCCATTAGCAAAAGCATATAATATTTTAACATTTCAGGCACTATAAAGGTCATTGTCTAATCACATACTAATAAGTAAGGGTTATTTGGTCTTCCAATATATATGACTATTTGATGTAAAAAAAATAAAAACAGCTCGGTGGAAAATCTATTAATGTAAAGCCCTTAGCAGGATTATTTGCTTTAAGCATCAAACTCCCAAAGTATCACAATAGTTTGAAATATAATTTTATTTGAATATGTTAACTGCAAATAACTAGAATGGGTTTCTTCAAATCACAACATATTTTAATTAAAAAAACTAAATCTAGACCTGGTAGAAGGGGAGTTCTAGAAATTAGAACAGAGGAAAACAGCATGTAGCAGCTCTGTTTTAATTCAACATACCTATATGACTCTATTTTTAAAAAATACTAATTTAATTAATGTTCACATCATTGTTTTGTTAATTTCTTACATTCTATAACAGTACCAGCATTACAAAGGAAGTGACTTTGACTGTGAATTGAGACTATTGATTCACCAGAGTTTGGCTGGAGGAATTATTGGTGTCAAGGGTGCTAAAATCAAAGAACTTCGAGAGGTAACAAACTTGTCATTTGAAAGCCTTAAAAATACTATATTCTCAGCATAGATGTAGCCAGCTTTCTTTCTTGCGTATTTATTTCCAGTGTATCTATACCAGCCCAGTTACATATCTGCAGACTTTTTATAAATTGGATCATAAGAATTTTCCAAAAATACTGCAATAGTTAAATAAGAACTCAAATTAAGTCTCCAAAGACCTGGGGAAAAATTATTTTCTGAAAGGTAATATTGGTGGAGATAGTATTCCAGAGAGTAAGAACAGCAATAGAGAATCATTACTTTCAGAATCCCACTTTCTGAATTAAGTAAATTCCAAGCAGAATGAATAGATCATTCAGCTTGGAGGAGGCTGTCCCGCAGTTATTTGATGTTTATCTTGTAAGGATATAAAGTTTAAAACTTAATTCTACTCCTAACACCTTTTGGAACAAATGCAGTATCCAAAAAGTAGCTATTCTGTTGCTGAACTGGCTTGTACCATCAATGTGTAGGCTGCTGCATCTTGCATATTGCAGTTTTTGGATAATTGTCAGAAATGACTCTGTAAGTGCCAGAAATACAATAGTCCGCTGTGTGATGTGAAATTACGAGAATAAAGCCTCAAAGCTAACATTGTAAACACAGGTGATATTTAGTGTCAACTATGCTTGTAGAATCTCAACCTCAAAAAGCCTAAATATTTTATAATATATAGAAAGTCTTTTACCTTTCAGTGAAAAAAAAAAGGAGAAAATTCTTTATTTTAACCGAGTACTAAAATTACCATACTGTGTTTCCCCGAAAATAAGACCCTGTCTTGTATTTTTTTGAACCCTGAAATAAGCGCTTGGCCTTACTGCCATGCGCTCAAAAGTCCAATTGGGCTTATTATCAGGGGATGTCTTATTTTGGGAGAAACAGGGTAATCTCTCAGAGTGCTGAATAGCACTATACTTAAACCTATTTTTAATTTTGCAAATGAAATTTATATTGCTTAAAAGTTTCTAAATGTTTTCTAGTGTGGCTTATACACTAGCAAGTGGAAACAACTCATAGTAATGGTGGTAGTTTATGTACCCATTATTCTTGGTAGTCTAAAGGATCACTGAATATGCCAATTATTCAGTGGAACACGAAGGTCATGTTTAAGTATTATGTCAAGTGGCCCAACTGAATAAATTTTGCAAAAGTATTAATGATACTGTATTGTACATAATGAACCTTTGGCACTAAAGAGACCAGGGTACAGATAATTCATTTCCATTACCTAAAATGGTGGCTGAGCAACACAATGAAAACTGCATTATAACATGTAGTTCTGGAGATATGACTTTGCTTTTTTTATTTTCATGAAGGGAATATGTTAACAATAGAATTTCTTGAACATTCATGTTCTGATTATCTTTCTGAATTGATCAATTCAGTAGGTGAATTGTTCTGCCAGCTCATTCTTTTCCATGCTAGCATATGAGATTCTATACATTGCATTACTTTCCATTCCATGCTGTTATAGCATCTGCAAAAGATGCTGTCTAGAATTATGACTAGTAGTAAAGATTTGATTGAAGGTGACTGAAATGAAATCCATTACAAGCAAAATTGATTTTTCAGTTCAGATGTAGTGAAAAAGTCAATTCTAGAGTGGGTTTAATGAAGGTCAGAGTTTTAACAGCAATATTAAACATTAGGGGAATACACTAGGAAAAAATGGATGTTTATTGCTTTGAGTTATTTGTAAAAACAGTAAAGGTGGAATATAAATAAATAAAATTACTGGCTTAAAAGTTTCTTCATTTTCTTGACAGAACACTCAAACCACTATTAAGCTTTTCCAAGAATGTTGCCCTCATTCTTCTGACAGAGTGGTACTAATTGGTGGAAAACCTGATAGAGTTGTGGAATGCATTAAAATAATATTGGATCTTATATCAGAGGTAACTTAATTTAGAACACATTTACATGCTTAATCTCCCTCTATGTATAAAGTCTATTTAGAATCGAATAAGTAGGCATATAGTAATGTATAGAAAGGCAAAACTCTTTAGCTGATACAGGATTAGATTTTAATTAGACATTTCTAAAATAGATATTATCTGGTCAGTACTTTATTGCTGTTTTATTGTTTCTTTGTAATAGTACAATCAGAATAGCATATTAATAAGCAAATGCAATGGAAAGTTTACAAAGGTTTAAAATGAGATGACTGAATATATTGAATTATTTGTTTCTCTTTTTTATATTAGTCACCAATAAAAGGACGTGCGCAGCCTTATGACCCCAATTTTTATGATGAAACTTATGATTATGGTGGATTTACAATGATGTTTGATGACAGAAGAGGGCGTCCTGTGGGGTTTCCAATGCGGGGCAGAGGGGGCTTTGATCGAATGCCTCCTGGCCGTGGTCGCCCCATGCCTCCACGAAGAGATTATGATGATATGAGCCCTCGCAGAGGACCGCCTCCACCTCCTCCAGGTCGTGGTGGTAGAGGTGGCAGCAGAGCTCGCAATCTTCCTCTTCCTCCCCCTCCTCCTCCTAGAGGCGGGTAAGTTTACTTTCTTAAAACTCATTAAGGATGATCTCTGTTGGGTATGTGTTCAGCAGAACTAGGGATGGAGATAAAGAGATTACAAGTCAGTCAAAATAGCAGTTTGTGCAAGTTTTAGTAAGAATGGAGCAGGAATAAGTGCAACTTTGATGGCCGGATATTCTGCTAAATTAAAAGCAGATGTGCCTCATTCTCATCACCAATTGAATTTGCTATTTATTTGGAGGCCCTGTATTTTGAAATGTGAGATAGTGGAGAAAATTAGAATTGCAATATGATGCAGGTAAATATTACAAATTATTTATTTTATATTCCTAAGGGACCTTATGTCTTATGATCGAAGAGGCAGACCTGGGGATCGTTATGATGGAATGGTAAGTTTGGTTTAATAGAATAAATCTGACCATGTGAACATACTGTATCATTTTTCTAAAGAAATATCAGAGATGATAGAATATTCTTTTTTATTTCAAACTAACTTTAAATTTAGCAAGATTTTCAAAATACAGATATTGTATTGGTTATATGCATTTTTAAAATTGGTGTGGCATATGTGTAAGGAAATAGTTATACCTTCTAATTGAAGAAATTTCAGCTAGTTTTTAACTTTAAAAGATTTAAGTTTGAGAAAATATTATAAATTCTCACTGTTAAAAACAAATACAAAATTACATTTAGGTTAAAAAAAATAGGTTAAAAAAAGTTCTATTGTTGAAATTTGAATGTTACTTCAAATGCGATTCCCTGTTTACAGAATGGGGGTGTTCTCCCAAATTTTCTTAGCAAGAGAATGAAATGAGGAAGTTAAGATGTTGAAAAGACGTTGGATTGTTAGCAGTTGCCAATTTTTAGAGCAACTAATTCTGTACTTTGGAATGATTATTGCAGAAAAAAAGTGTGTTAAGCAACAATTTAAGTGGCTATTGGTACAACTGTTTTATGCAAAGAAAGGCTTAACTCCACGGTTTTCTTCTTTGTGTTGCAATATTACTTGACCAAAACTCAAGTGAGATTTGTTTCGTTTTTGGGGGGGAATGGTGAGGAAGAATTTAATTGTCCCTGTTCCAAATGCCACAAAGTTCTCCACTACTCCTGAAAAGGGGGGAAGGGGGCATCCTGAGGAAGGAGAGGTAATGATAATAGCCTTTTTTCCTCTTCTGTCAGTGAGATTCCTTTTATTAAATCAGTGACTTTCAGAAGCCCTTCTATTAGGGACCAACTTTTACTTTACGAAATTGAAAAATAAATAAGAGAAATTTTGCAGGGGGGGGGAGACTTGCTCTGTCTATATATAGAGAGAGCACACACATTTTTGATTTAATTTATAAGTTAATGCAATTTAAACCATTTGTATGTATTATATGACCATATGCATGCATAACATAATTGCCTTGATGTTCGATGTTCAGGATTTTTTCCCTTGAGTATGTAATAGTAATATACCTGAGACATCTGAATATTGTGAGAATGTTTCACCTTGTTAGTGCTGTTTACAGCAATACAATAGTATATGTGACTGAGCAGTTTGTTAAAAAAAGTTCTTGCTTTTCCTTGTTGCTTTTTATCATGATTCAGAGTGTTTTGCTATTGCTTTTTAAGTAAGACAAATTGTGATTAAGGATTCATCAGTTCTGTATTTGTTTATAATGGAATAAGTCCCACTGATTTAGTAAAACTTGCTTCCCAACTGTATGATTGTACTTTTAAGTCTTAAATGTTTAATCTGTACAATGTACTAATTTACATAAAGCAGAATATGCATGTTTCTGGAACTATTCTGTCTGCATAAAATTACAGTAGAATTGTTCCACCAAGAAAATATAATGATGATTGAGGTGTTGAAATTAATACTTTGCTTTTTGAATGAACATGTTTTAAAATCATAAATTGGAAATTAAACAAATTTAACTCCAAAGAATGAAGTATATTGGTCCCTTTATCTCTAGCTAGGAGATGTATATTTCTATTCATTGTACAACAAATTGTAACAGCATTTTGACCAGAAGTGCTTGATTCTGCATTATGGCAGTCAGTTAATACACATAGGAAGTAAATATTTTGGATCTAGAAATTCACCCAGTAGTTTTTCATTGGCATTAGAAGAAGGAATGAGGTGATTCCTCTTTGATTTCCTCTGCAGCCCTGAATTGCTATCGTCCTTCTAAGGCTGCAGATGACCCTCACTTGAGTGGGAAGCTCTATTGGATCCAAAATTCTTCACTGAAGATTCTTTGTATTTATTGTATAACTGGAGCAAGTCTGGATTAATGAACATTGTCATAGTGTATTTCAGTCTGTAACTCAGCAATAAATAACATTTTGTGTATGAGTATGCTTAAATTGCCAGTATTTCGAGAGTGTCTTTGTTTTTCTTACTCTCTTATACTCTCAAGTCCTATGATAACTCAATATTCATCTGACATGATTAATATTAAAACTATAGCTTTCATACACTTGTAAAGATACTATAATTTAGAACTTGGCTTACAATTTTGCTTGAAGTTCCTCACTGATTTCCTCCCCTCCCCCTTTCTTTGTGCTGTGTTCTGCTTGGCAAGATGATGCAGTGTCATGTCAGTGCTTGTGATGACATAGAAACACCAGAAATGGTAGGTACATTTTCTGTCTCCCTTGTAGAGTTAGGTGATTTGCTGCAGTTTGTGAAAAGGGAGGAAATATGTCTTTTAAACATACTCTTGATACAAGAGCAGATTAATCAGGAGCTAATTTTACTAATAGCTTGCCCTAGGGAAAAGCTGCTAAATTTCATTACATTTTGGTAATGAAGTAAAATCCGAAATCCTCTGCCCTGAAAATAATTACCATTGAATTTGATGGGATGTATTTCTAAATAGGCAGATATAATGCTTTCTTTAATCACGGTTTGCAACATTTCTCCCTGCTATTTCATCTTGAGATTATATCTGAAATAAAGTCTAAATACTTCTTAAACCAAAGTTCTCATGCCAGCTTGGGTCTAAAGATACATAACATAAGATTCTTTCAGCAATTGTAGTTTTTATTTTGTGAAATATTTTCGTAACAATTCTATAGCTTAAAATTGCTTATATGAAAACTTAGACTTTGTTTTTCTCCCTTTTTTGTTAGTTCGAGGGTGGATCGGGTTATGGTAAGCTTTCATGCATATGTATTGAACAAAATTTATTGTTTAGTCGTTTAAAGGGCAAGATGCATACGTTTTAAATTAGACTATTCTTATGCAGGGGGTCGTGGTTCTTACGGAGATCTTGGTGGACCCATCATTACAACACAAGTAACAATACCCAAAGACGTAAGTATAAAATTTCCTCCCTTTTTACTTTTCTTAACAAAAAAAAGCAATTTTCTAGGAGAGTTTGTTATGTTTACTCGTGTTCCAGTACCAAATTTATACTCTGCTCAGAATATGAAGAGAATAAGTGAAAATACGTTTGATTTTTCATTTGCATGTACCAGTCATTATTTATCTTATTTTTTTCGAGCGAATTATGGATTAGAAGTTACTATTTCAGTAAAATATACTCTTATTTTCAGCTGGCTGGTTCTATTATTGGAAAAGGCGGTCAGAGGATTAAACAGATACGCCACGAGTCAGGAGCTTCAATCAAAATCGACGAACCCTTAGAGGGCTCAGAAGATCGAATAATAACTATTACGGGGACACAGGATCAGATTCAAAATGCACAGTATTTACTGCAAAACAGGCAAGTTGCCTTTTAAGTTGTTACTAATTTCATGTAGATATATTGCTTGTGTGTATGTTTTTATAAAGAGAGCATTTAGAGAAAAAAAATTAGTCATACTATATACTAACTTCTCAATTTAGTAGTATGCCTTTCTCTTCTATCTTCCATTCTGATTCATTGAAGAAGCACTCAAAACTAATCTTTCAGGAAGTGTCCTTAACCAAAGCAGCTCTCATTTCTTTGGTGAAAACTGCTGCAAAAAACCTACTTTAATCTTATATAGAGCCTGTAGAAAATATAGAAGATTTCAGTTGGACGTTGGTCTAGTTCTGTGTGGAAGACTAGTGATTTTGTTGTTTTTAGATTACTAAAGTGACAACAAATCGCAGTCTACCATATGGCACAGTCCATGCCTCTACAGGACAAGTTGAAAGCTTTTGTTGCTGTTAATGCAGCATTTCACACCGCTTCCTTTTCTGCCATGTATAACAGCTTTAGATTTTACATGCTTTATTTTCTTTAACACCAACTATTTAGTGAGCATCTTGTAATGTATAACTTTAATTTTGCCTGTAGATTAGCTAATTATAAATTGATAAATGTTGCATATTATATAATTTTATATAATTTTATATTTGTAAATGTATTTGTAAATATTGATTCAAGTTGTTTGTTCAACCATTCTAATACATGCCTTTTTTTTTTCTTTTTCCTTATAGTGTGAAGCAGTATGCAGATGTTGAAGGATTCTAATGCAAGATATTTTTTCTTTTTTATAGTGTGAAGCAGTATTCTGGAAAGTTTTTCTAAGACTAGTGAAGAACTGAAGGAGTCCTGCATCTTTTTTTTTTCTTAAATCTGCTTCTGTTTAAAAAGCCAACATTCCTCTGCTTCATAGGTGTTCTGCATTTGAGGTGTAGTGAAATTTTTGCTGTCACCAGATGTAATGTTTTAGTTCTTTACATATAGGTGGGTGAGGCTGGGACGGCCTGCAAAACTAACCTTGGTATTTTGAAACAGCAGCAGAGATGGTAGATTTTATTTTTATTTTTTCTATGTTGGTTGTAAACTGTAATGTTTTCTGTCCTTTGTGAACCCATCTGCTTTATACTTTTTTTTGTTTTTGAAATGGGGTAGTAGCTGATAGCTTACCCCAACATCCATTCAATGCAGCGTGCGAAATGTAAGCGCTCTTTTGTAAAATGTTCTATGATTTTAAAAATAAATTTAGTGAAACAATTCTTGCAGTTCTTTCTTTGAGTATTTTCCATACTTAAAATACACACTCTACAGTCTACATTTATTGTGCTTGGCTTTTTTTCCCTTCTCTATACCGGAGAAACAGAGTACCAATTCAAATATGTTGGTAAATGGGAATATTGATTGCACTGATTTAAACTTTGCTATGTGTAAAGAAATTAACATACGTCAAATTGTTTTCTTTCTGTTGCTCAAGTTGTATTTCCCTAATTGTTGTATTGCGTTACATTGGTTTGAATAAAATCTTATAAAACCTGTTTTGTCAATTAATAGCAAGCAATTATAGAAAATACTAAAAGCTTGATAATAGCCTTGGCAAGTTTGCCCATTTTCAACTGTAATTTGTTTAATATGTTTCCATTGTACAAAGATTTTAATGAAATAATTGTATCTTTCATATTGACTGGCATAGGAAATGTGTGCTAAATCAATCTGAATGTTTTCATGTAAAATCCTGGCCATTTGTACTGATAGTTTCCAAGGTTATTTCTTTTATTGAATAAAATAAAAATTGTAATAATACTGAGGTGGATGTGGATGTGACAGAACCTGTTTTTTAATTGTTTTTTGTTGTGTTTTAACTTCATGCTAAACAAAACCATTCCTTTCCTGTTTGCAATTAGGTATGAGATTTCAAGACCATGCAAAAACTTTCAACCTTGTATAAGTAAAACAGTTTAGGTTTACATTACCTTGTCAAGAAGTAAGCCTTGTTGAATTCAATGGGATTTCCATGAATGAATATTTCCTTTAAAAAAGTTCTTAGTTTTTGAATGAACAGTATTTTCAAGTGTTTCCTGTGCAGGGAGAAAATCCTGATATAAAAGGGACCCTGTAGGATGGTGTGGGATGATTTTTAAAAAACTAATAGGAAACGTTAAAACCAGTAAGACCCAGATGGTGTAAGGAAGATTGAATTACATACTGCAGATTGCTGAACTGAAGATTCTGAAGAGTTTCACATTTCAAAACTGCATGAACGAAGATTGATTCGCCCACATACACACTTCTAAGTCTGGTTAAGTGGAGGGCTATGTGCTCTAATTCTGCCTTAGCTACAAAAAGCCAGTGGAGTGAAAGTGGGCCAGGTAACCACCCCTACAACCCGTAAGGCGGCCGCATTTGAACAGCTTTTAAAGTGCGTGGACCGAAAAGTAGCTGCCAGGAGTCAAGCGTAATAGTGCAAAAAAGAAAAACTTAACCAACCCGCTAAGGATTCATCATTCCACAAGATGCAGTAAAACATGGGTGTAGCTCCTCGCGAGATAAGAGCATGTTGCAGCTGGCGCCGATATCCGGTAACCTTTTTGAGTTCGGCACTAATTTATGCAAATATAGTCCATTCTGATTGGAGGGTGAAGCAAGGACGATTAGAAAAAGGTTGAAAAGAAGAAACGCCGTTTTGTATCCGCAGAGATCACTCGTGGGTTTACTGAGCAAAGCATACCCAAATCGAGTACGGTATCTTTAAAGGTAAGATGGATTTGTTCTCTTGGCAAGACGTTGTGACATTTTGCTAGAAGTCTGCACACTTCCGGGTGTTTTACGTAGGCCTAAAATCCGCAGGCAGTCCTTGTTTGGCCATGTGAGTAGAGAACGAGGAAAAGACACATTTTTGTTCTCTTCCTGCCTGTCATGAAAACCGTAGAATCAGCCAAGAATCAAATACCAATCTGAATGCGACTTGGCGCCTGCCGGTGAGAAAATACTCCAGGAAATAGGATCGGATTGGCAGACGAGCGCTGCTCCTGTTAGTAATCCGCTTCTGGCCGCGTCGCCTTTGTGTTTCGATGACTGGCGCTGCACTAGATCAACATTTCAAAATTCTGATGTGGAGAAAAAGCGCAGACCTAAAGTGTTACTTTGTCGCTGCTACTTTGTAGCAAGATTTCCTAAAGCAATCGGCGAAAGTACGAATCGTGGCGGGTATGGGGGACGGAGGATGGGGTGGAACTTTTTTCACGTCTATTGTTCGAGTGAACCCTTGTTAGGTTGGCTGAGAATAGAAGCGCTTTCTATCACTTCATCTCTGCCGTTCGTGCATTCATTAAAAGGTGAATCCCCCTCTGATAAAAAGACATCGCTTTGACCATTTTGTTAGGCAATATTGGTTTTTAACTGAGGTGGTTGGGGGAAAAGTTTTCTAAAAAATCAAAATACTGTATTGGTCACCGACAGAATCTCTGCATTCAGTGGGCGGAGCTAAAGCCTTCAGGGCAATCGCAACTAGTTTTATTTCTATAGGAAATCATGGCTTTCTACGAAAATAGGACTTATCCCTTAGAATGGTTGCAGAAGGATATTAACTCTTAACTCTTTGCTACCATCTAATGGTCCTCCAATTTTTTTGCAGCCCAAAGAGGCGCAAAGAAAGAGGTGAGACTTAAGTGAAAGAAAAAGAAACAAAAGTTGGAGAAAGACAATGGCATAGACTTTGTCCATGAGGTCCTCAAGAATCGGATTCAACATTTTATTATCCCATTGCAATTTTTGCTTTCTGAGACACATCAGATAACCTTGCATGACCAATCTACTTATCTCTTGTACCTTTGAAGAAAGCTTAAATGGTGCTGTGGTTGAGGAAAGGGACTTTGAAAAGGAAAAAAAATCAGAAATATGTCAGAAATATTGGAAGCACAAACTTCATTTTTCACCCATTTCTTGAATATCTAAGTGCTAATGTTCACATATACCCTTCTAATAACGCCTAAAATCTTTGGCACTTTTGGAAAGAATTCTGTTTGCAATGCCACAAATTTGCTGTTTTCAATATATGGTCTGCAAGGATGGTTTGATCATTAAAAAAAGTTGCAAAGTGCTTCAGTTAAACAATAAATATGTATCCATCCGCATGGCTTTTGTGTAATTCTCCCATTCTCTTCAATTTTGGGTAGGCTCAATAAGATGTTTTGTTATTTTAATATATATGCAATTAGCTAGGTAAAGGCTTTGCTTCAGTAGACAATAACAAACATTATTGCCAAAATTGGTGGTGCTGCTTTAAGAACAGAAAAGTTTTACATTTTTGAATTGTCAAGGCTACAGTGGTATACAAACTTGAGAATAAGCACTGTTAAACTGATAGAATTTACTGCTGCATAACCTGTACAGGGATTGCTTACAATTTGGAAAGACCTGGGAAGATAAATGGATTGTCAACAGAATAAATGTTATGTATCTTTCTTGAATTCTATCAACTCTGTATTTATAGGTCAAAGACTAACATTTATCACATTTATTCAGAAACAAGGAAAATATGGAAGCAATTTTAAATCCTAAAGAATCTGCCAAGTTTATAGCAGAAAACAGCAAAGATGTATACATTGAAGACGGTGGTGTGCAAAAGGTTGCAGAGATGTTGTTTGATAAAGTCACAGAGAAGGAATTCAGTGTGGCTGGCTGGAAATCATCTCATGAGTTAAACCCTCAAGAAGCAAGTGAAGATGCAGTGAACTGGGTATTTGTTGCTGATGTGTTCAATTTTTCCTTTTGGTCTGAACATGAAGACCATAAATGCTTGGTGAAATACAAAGGCAAGACTTACAGTGGCTATTGGTCTCTTTGTGCTGCCATCAACAGAGCACTTGATGAAGGTTAGTTTTCTGAATTACATTGATTAGACTGAAGGGTATGTTTGGACTTTACACTACAGATATATGAATAGCAATAGAATAAACAAGACTCTTTCATGAAGTAGAATAAAGTCAAGTAGAAATTACAGGTCGTCCTTGAGCCCAACGTTTCCATTGCTAAGCAAGACAGTGGTTAACTGTGTTTTGCAACATTTTTCAATCTTTCTGCCACAGTTGTTAAATGAATCATTCTGTCATTCAGCAAATCTGACTTCCCCCATTGACTTTGTTTGCGGGAAGCTGGCTGGGAAAGTTACAAATAGTGATCACATGATCCCAGGACAGTGCAACGGTTCTAAATACATGCCAGTTACCAAGCCTCCAAATTTTGATCACATGACCGTTGGAGATGCTGCAATGTTCCTAAGTATGAAAACCAGTCATGTCACTTTTTTTTCAGTGCCATTGTAACTTTGGTTGCTATGGTTGTAAGTCAAGGACTACTTGCAGGTGATTATGGATGTAATTTCATATAGTGCCATCAAACTATCTTGTTGTAATATAGCATTGAATAGCTTCAGTGGTCAAGCAACCTGTTACACTGAATGAGCAGCATAAAAATGTTTACTCCCATTCCAAAGTATCAAGACTCAGATTAGTCGTACTTTTTTTTCCCTCTCCAGAATCTGCCCATCAGATCAGGAATTGGACAAAATAAAATAAAGACAATCCCCCCCCCCACAAAAAAAATCTGCCCATCAGACCAGGAATTAGACAAAATAAAATAAAGGCATTCCCATTGGAGGGATTTCCCCTCTTTTAATTTTCTCTGCCAGAAGGAAGAATGTGGAGAAACTTGGCTGCAGTAACAGAAGGAGGGATTAATTCTCAGATGCGTTCACCCTACAAATCTGACTGGGACTAATCTGGATTAGGGTTTGGGACTTGCTTTCAATAATAATAAAATAAAGATTAGGAAACTTCACATGACATGCCTTATTATAAAGCATTAGGTGAAAAAGGATCAGAACATGACTATAAAGAATAATCTATATGTTTCTTACCTTGCCTCTGCTATGGAGACTTGGCCCACAAACAGATGCTGTCATGGTATTAGACAAGCCTTGAGGGCAGTGTAGCGGAAGGCAGCTGGCCCAGACTGGAAAGCTGCCTCTTCAAATTTCACTTTAATTTCTCTTGCAGTCTTCTCCCAATAAACAGGGAAGTATATCAACAGAATTAGGCTGTAGTGAGTAAGATGCATGCCTTTGTGAAATTTACAAGTGGAGCATTATCAGGAAAAGTCAACATCTTCCTCTTGTTTATCTTAAACATCTGGTATTCACATGCATTATTTAATTTTCACAACTGATAAGTTTTTAATAGAAAAAGTAGGTTGACATTTTATTGATTCATATCGGTCAAGATATATGTCAGTTAGAAGAAGGTTAGAACAGTTATCTATATCTATAGAATAGATATAGGTCAGTTAGAACAGGGCTGTCAAACTCACGGCCCTCATGGGCTGGATGCGTCACGCGCTGGCCCTGCCCACGCCTGGTTTAGTGAAAGGGGAAAAAATCCCGATATATCACGTGATGCCGCTGTGATGACGCGAGTTTGACACTCATGCATTAGAATGTTAAGTTTGGAAGAAGACACTAAGGAAAGAATTTAAAAATAATTTAATAAGACTGGAGAGATACAACCACCACTACCCCTTTTGGAGACTTCAATTGTTTATGTAAACAATCCTAAATAAAATATAAAACAATTCCTTGTTTGGCAGTTATGAAATGCTCATAAGGACTTACTCTGGCCATTTACTCCACTCTTTCCTGCTTATTGGCACCCATGTAATTGAGTTCCAGTTCAAATAAAAATCTTTAAATTGCTTAAAATTGCAAGAACCACAGCTTGTTTTGCAAGATCTCTATCCATAGGAGCATTCAGCATAATCTTGGATAAAAAGAAGCTAAGCAGGATTAGGCTACTAGAGGTTGACCAATTGTGGTAAATTGCTTCTATGCTGTTACGCAGAGAACTTGCATGAACAGGTCTTTGAAGTCACCAGCAGTCAAATTCAACTCAAAGAAAACATTAACATATTCTCCTCCCTTTCTCCTCAATGATCATCTTTAACTACTGAGTTGTCTTCACTAATGTCAATCTAAGGAAAAAAGTATTTTTAAAAATGATCAATATTTTCATTTTTTAAAAAATAATTTGAATAGAAAAGTATATTAAATTGTAATTCCAATAGCAGGTCCAGTAGAGCAAAGTTAGAGGTAAATTAACTGAGAAATTAATTGTTTAGTTGATCCAGGGGTGAAATGTAAAATTTGTTACTACCGGTTCTGTGGGCGTGACTGGGTGGGCGTAGCCAACTTTTTTTTTTTTAACTTTTCAAAGCATTTTTTCTAATGCTTTGAAAAGCCTCTGCCGATAAGGCAACTCAGCTGGAATTGTCAGAGAGACTTTTTAAAAAATGCCTCTCTGCCGATCAGGCAACTCAGCTGAGATCGTCAGGCTTTTCAAAGCATTTTTTTTACCACCTCTTGGCCAAGAGGTTGCAGAAAAAAATGCTTTGAAAAGCCTCTGATGATCCCAGCTGAGCCGTGCGATTATCAGAGGCTTTTTTTTTTTACTTTTAAAAGCATTTTTTCGTTGGAAGAGGTTGTAGAAAAAATGCTTTTAAAAGTAAAAAAAAAAAAAAGCCTCTGATGATCATGCGGCACAGCTGGGCATGGTGGGGAGAAGGTGCAGGGTTTTTTGCTATCGGTTCTCCGAACCACCCGCCATCGCTTACAGGATCGGGCGATCCGGTCCGAACCGGGAGCATTTCACCCCTGAGTCAATCCAATAATCAGCCTAAATAAATTCTGTATGTTTCCTAATTGGAACATTTTTAAAATATCTTCGTCTTTTATTTTACTAACTATCTCAAATGTAATTAATAATGATTCTTTTTTATTTGTTGCCCTTTCTGAAGGAACACCCATTACTAGTGCTTCTTATTATGCCACTATGACCTTAGATCAGGTGAAGCATGCATTTCGTTCTGATACAGAGGTGCCTATGCCTTTAATTGAGGAGAGACATCGTGTACTAAATGAAGCTGGAACAATTCTGCTGGAGAAATTTGGAGGCTCCTATCTCACATGTGTTAAAGAAAGTGGGAAAAGTGCCCAAAAGTTACTACAGATAATAGTGGAAAATTTCCCATCTTTTAGAGATGAAGCTACGTTTCAGGTAAATCTCTTACAGTCTGCATTTTCAGCTAACCTCTTGGTTTCTTTCTTTCTTTTTGATGAGAAAAATGGACAAGGAACTGCTGCCTACCATAGTGTCTCATTTTGTGCTGTGGCAGGGTGGAAAATACAACAACACGCATCTCCTGTGATCTTATTATCTAATATAGATAGTGAGGTCAATAATGATATTACCAATATTCCCAAACTGCTACAGAATTGAAACCACAGATATTTGTACTAAGAATTATTCCAGTGTGTATAAATTAAATATATCACAATTTACCAAGATATATGATGACAATGGCAAGAATCCAGAGGGCACAATTTTGGAAAAGACAACCTTTGCTGATAATATAAGATTGAGAGCAATGGAAAAATAGGCTATATCCAATATTCAGAACAAAAGTCTGACCAAATTAAGTCAGGAATGGTTTCCTTACATAAAAAATATTTGTTAGCAAGGCAAGATATATTATGGCTTTTAGAGAAAAGACAGATTGATTAAAACAACTGAAAAAAAAAATGACTCAAGCACATAACCGTAGAAGTTTAAAGCAGGTTATAATTAAATACTGTAGCAGGTAATAGTTGGGGGAAAATGAAAGAGGGGAGGTGTTACTGGATACTTATTTTTATAGTGTTTTGCTCTTACATCATATCTTATTGCATCTCTGTTTTTGATTTTTTGCAATGATTAGGCAATAATGAAACTAATGCAAAAATAGTGTAGAGTACATAGTGTTCTTTCCTCCAATAGAGCAAGAACCTTATGGAGTAGGTTTGTGTTGAGATATAGTGACTAGCTCAGAGTCCTCCGGGACAGGAGTCTCCAACCTTGGCAACTTTAAGACTTGTGGACTTCAACTCCCAGAATTCCTCAGCCAGCTTTGCTTTGGTGGCTGAGGAATTCTGGGAGTTGAAGTCCACAAGACTTAAAGTTGCCAAGGTTGGGGACCCCTGCTCCAGGAGATTTCTTCCATGTAGTGGGCTCAACCCTGTATCTTCCCACTCCTGGGAAGTCTGGCACTTTAACCTCCTCGTGTATGAGCTGTCATGTTTCATATAATTCTCATCATATTTAGCTTCTTTTGAAATGAAAGGTGGTAAGAATAACATGTTGAAATTAACAATTGAAATCTGTAAATGTGACTACATTCCAATCATTCTAATTACTTTGTTGTTGTTTTTTCTCCTTTTCCTACCAGGGTAGAAAGGTAGTTTTTTACAAACGGGCGCAGATCCTTGTGGCTGATACCTGGAGTGTATTGGAGGGGAAAGGAGATGGCTGCTTCAGTGATATTTCCAAAATCTCTATATTTGCTGATTACAGGATACCACAAGTTCTTGTTCATTTAGGAGCAATGAGATATTCAGAAGAATTAATGAACAAACTTAAAAAAGGTATTAAATTCTTCATGATCATGAAGAATTTCTATTTCACCTGCCACTTTATATCAGTAGTCTTTGATGTACAGCAGCAGAAATAAACATAAGAGAAATTGAGTTATCTATCCCCAGAAAATACAATCTACAATTGCCTTCATTTGTGACAATCTACAATCCTACATAGATACTTTGGAGTAAGCCCCAATTACTTACTTTTGAGTATAAATGTAAAAGACAGTGCTAACTAAGTACTTTACCTTTTTCACTTTTTATTATTCAGAAAGAAAAAAATAAAAGGGAAAAGTAAGATTATTTTCCAAATTTTTTGTTCTGGTATTTCAGATATAGAATGTCATTTCTTGTCTGGGAAAGAAGACATTTCATTTTAAAATTGTCAGTGATGAACATGAGGAATTTGATTGCTAAAACATGTATACCCAGTTTTTTTTCCTGGTACTTCAACCCATGTGTACTTTTGTTTGCCAAATCTTATTTTCCTTCCATCCATCTATGTTCCTCTCTAACAGTATTGAGGAATCAAAAGTCAAGTTGGCAATTGTCACCACATAAACCCTTTGTACAAAAGTGTCAGTGTCGCTTGCATATACAAAGCAGCAGCTGTTGAATCAGAAGGTTGCAACTACCATCTTAACCAACTAGGCTAAACTAATATCTAGATTGCAATCTATTTTTATTATTTTTTATTGTACCTTGTCGGCTGTTGACATTGTGAGCCAACCAGGGTCGCTATTTCAAATAAATGTTTAAATGTAACTAAATAAAATTAAAAATCTAGAGGGGCTATTTCAAAATGCCAGAGCCATAACAGAATGCACTCTCCTGACCTCTCCTCATATCACAAAAGCAGGGAAAAACTAACAACTTCTTCAAGAATATGTGTATTAAGGTTTTGTCAATCCATTTGAAAAATGAACTTTTGTAAGGGTTGATGATTTGTATTCAAGAGTAATTAAATACTTGATTGCCCATGTTGCAAGTCCATGATTGGGATTTTTTTTTACCAAGAAATTTAATAACTGCAGATAGTTGCATGTTTAGTTTTATCAGGGAGTCATGTTGGCTTGTTTACAATTCTGTTTAACTGTTGCTAAATATAGTTTATATTGACACTGATAATGTTGTACTTATTTGTCTATTCTAAAATAAGTTCTAATATAATTCAACAACCTTTACTTTCTATTAATGTATATCAGAAGCACTAGGAATCTCTCATTTATGGATTTAATCTTGAATGTGGAAATTAGCTATTAGACCACTTTTCTTGATTTCTACTACATTTCTTAAACTTCCTGCATCTTTGTTCCTCCTGCCATTCAAAAATCTATGGCTGTTATCCAATCAGTGTATGCTGAGCTGAGACGAACCATTTTCTTTCTGAGATTCCACTAATTTGTTTCATGTTTCCATTTGCAAGAAGATTGCCTTTTTCTGTGCAGTACAATGCAGGAAACAATAATTCCTGGCCTACCTCTAATGTAAAGGCCTTCTGATAGGATACAGGCAGTCTCTTGAGTAACAGCCTACTCAAACAGAACTATCAAAGATCCTTCTGAAGGGCACATTTGTACCTAGTTAGGAAAAGTATTAGGAATGTTATGAAGGGCAAAGAAAATATGGGGAATGAGACATAAATAAGCAATTCAAAACTACTGCAACCCTTTCAATTTGAATGAACCCGGTTAATGTAAAAAAAAAGTTAGTATACATTGATTAAAATATTTCCTCATATATTCCCATTTTCTTTATTCATGTTACTTTCTTTGATCCTTCCGTACCTTCCAGGGCATATGTTCCAGTTTGGAGACAATCAGGAAGTAGAGATTCGAGGTTGTAGTATTTGGTGTTGTGAGCTCATCTGCAGTGCTTTGCTTGAACTTTATAAAAAGAAAGGTGACAACATGAGTGAGACGATCAATGCGGTTCTCCTTGATTATTATCTATGGGACTATGCTCGGGATCATCGAGAAGATATGAAAGGAATACCTTTTCACTGTGTACGTTCCATATACTATTAATGCCATTTATAAATGATAATGACATAAAGCATCAAAGTCTTCAAAATTTCTGTATATAATTTGGATTTTTTTTTAAAAAAAATTGTATGGCTGCCCATGTATTAAGATTTGGATCTTTAATCTCCATTTTATCAGAAGAAAGGCATTTTCTTGAATATTGACATTTCAATTCTGTAAGCAATATATTTTTAATGGGTTTGATTAAAATGTATGAAACTATAAAAAATCTGGATTACATATAAAATCAAAAAATATCTTACAAATTAATATTATTGTAATCAAATTACCTACTTGTGTGCATGTATCTGAACATGCATTTGAGTAAAGACAATTTCAGTTTACATTTGATGTATCTTACGAAGTTGTGTGCTGCTCAGCAGGAATTATTTTGTTCAAAACATTGTAATGTCATTCAGCAACATTGATTCAAAGTTTATACACAAGACTTTTTTAAAAAATTCTGAAATTACAACTAAAGAATAAAACCAACAACAAAATCAATCACTAATATTTCAATTATTTAATTGAATTTAAAAATGTGAAGGTCAAGCTAACAAAGAGATTATTAACTGATTCTTTAGAAAAAAACCAACTTGATCCTTGTTTATTAAAATATAACATCTAGTTGACTTGGTTGATACAAAAGACTAAGCAGTAATTGGATGAGAGACTACCAGGAAATCTTTGGATTGTAAGATAAAATGGGAAATATATATCTGTTTAAATCTTAGAAGGTTTTTTTTAAAAAAACCACGGCTTTGTACAAACAATCACCTGGAG